TTAGAAGGGGCGAAAATTTTTTGTTCAACATTTAAAGGGGGTGATATTGAAAAAATTTCTGTTTTACAGGTAAAATGTAAAATTTTCTCTAATTTATAAGGTAAATTTCAAAAAAAAAAAAATTAAAATTAAGGAGGGCGGCTGCCAGCACTAGTGACCTCTCAGTTCCACCATTGTTTGCATGTCAATATAATTTAGCTTTGTTTTGGTTTTTCCAACAAATATTTTCGCATTCTTTTAAATAGGAGACTGATTTCCTTTTAGAATTTACACTCACCCTCCTTATAAAGATAAATTTTTAATACAAGATATTTTTTATAATTATGTTTTTACTCACCAAAAAGATGAAATCTCAAGAAGTCTGAAGTTTGTTTTTAATTAATAAAATGAGGGTTCTTTAAATTTAAATTTTAAATTTGAAATGTATTGATCAGAGAAACTCTAATATCATGTTAAGAATGTATTAATCTAAAAGTTTGAATTTATTTGCCAAAGGATAGAAAAATGTTTTATATGTTATCTTCTTCTTCATGCTTTTTACAATTTATGGAAGAATTAAAAAAAATAATAAAATCTCTTACACAAGCATGAACCACAAAATAATATAGTAAGAGAAAGATGGTGTGGGGCAACCTGCCATTCTGCAATTTTGTAGTGTTGCCAAGTCCTTGCATCTTCCAACCTTCTTCCTAAAATTTTCGTGAAAGGTTTTGAACTTCAAAATCTTCATTTATGGTTTATAATATTTTATTGATAGTATAAGGGACCACTGCAAGTCAAATACTTACTGTATATTTGTATTCATACACATGCAATAACTAAGAAAAAAAAGGTTTATAATTTAAAAAAGGAGAAAAAATAACTAATAGTCCCAATTAGAAAGAATTGGAACGATTTAAAATAATTTCCAATAAATATCATAATTTTATCGATTTGCTTTTCTGTATCTTTTTTAAAGATGATTAATAATTATCAACAAGATGTTGGTTGAGATCGCTTACCACCTCAAGTTTAATTCCGAAAAATACAAGTTTGATCCTGAAAAATGATTAAGGTGGTAAGCGACCTCAATCCTTGGAATGATGAAAATACAAGTTTGATCCTGGAAAGCGTATTTTGCTGGAAGGATAAAAAATCTTTACGCTTTACAGCCCTTAGGGGACTACGTCTCCCGGTTATAAAAAAAAGATTAATAATTAATTTATTTTTATTTTAGATTTGAACTTGTTTAAATTAAAGGTCACTTTTTAAAATAATAATTTAAAATTTGTTTAAGTTAAATCGACTTTAAAATATTGATTTTATACTAGATCGAGATGAGATAGGATTATGTTCAGTCTCTTTCAAAGTTTTTAGTACCAAAATTGGCTTCAAACCCCTATTTGAATAAATAATTCTAATTCAATTTCCAATTAAAAAATAATAAAAAAAGACAAAAGTACACCTTACGGTTTATTTTTTTTAAAAGGAAAAACCCAAATCAGAATCAGATTCTGAGAACTAAGATCGAAACCAAAATCAAACGGAAACCGAGTGAACCAGGACCAAAATTGAAACCTTAAGAACCGATTAAGATCCCAATTTCATTTAACCCGAGCCCTGAACGATCAGTTCATTGAACCAAAACTTCAGGTTGTAATGACCCGAGCACTCCTAAATATCAATCAAGAAGAGAAGAAAGCAAACATTAGTTTTTCCCTCTCATGTCTCAATCTATCCACTGTAATGCATATGGAAACACGTGATACAGATATCCCTCTTAAAGCTACTTACACATGCTTTTGATCACCATATACCCCATTTATGTTTATTGTTTTTGTTTTATTTACGTTTTACTCTACCCTTTTTTTTTTTTTTCCCTCCAAAACTTAAAATTGTTTCTTTCAATAGATTCTAATAACATTATTTTTTCTCCAAAATGACTAGCTGTCAAAGTAAATATTTTCATATCTCCGATGGCTAAATATGAAGTCTCTTTAAATATTCAGAACAGAGTGATTGGCCCCTTTTATAAATTTATTTCGTACGAATCCGGATTAATCGGATGAATGATTAAAGCTATAATAATAATAATAATGTCCGGTAATTTGCTTCAAGAATTGAATAGAATTGAAGTGATTTAGATGTTGATTGATTTTTGTGAGAGAAATTTTTTTTTCCTTATAGATTTATTTCATTCTTAAGTATGATCTACTTCATTTGTAGTTTGCTTACGAATGCCACACATAAATGCTTTCCTCATCAATACACAATATTTACTGCTAGTATATTTTACTTGTCCAAAAGACTAGGTTATTATACATGTCAGTAAAGGTAAAAAAATTTGTTGTAAAATTTATCGCCTTCGATTGGCATTAAAGGGCACAGTTAAAGTTCTGGAACTTGATACTTGAAAAGTAATTAATTGTTATACTTTCTAGTTTCCATAAGTTCTTGGTCTTTGACCTTTGTAGTGCATCACAATTTTGTTCATCGTGAATTTTCTTTTTCTGCTTTGCATATTTGTTTTCATCTCGAACTAGAAATAATATTCCGATAAATCTTCTTAACAGCGGCAATTTTAAGTTTCGAATATCTAGTCTTACAGGTAAAGTTTGATAGAAAATAAAGTTAACTTTTGTTGATCAAACTGTTGGTTGGTGTTCATCATTGTTGCACAGAAAGGAAAATGAAAATATGTAAAAATGTAAAAATGATATGGAAAAATGACATTAAAATATAATTAAAAAAAATAATATTTTATATAACAAAATGGATAGGGAAAAAGTTTCTGAAATGGGGAAATGTCCATGGCCTCCCATTAAATATGAACAGATTGGGGATTTTCATGGCTTGGGGAGAAAATTGTAAGGGATCATTTCGTTCTTTAAGAGGTAGTTTCAATATAATAAGAGCAGTGGGTCTCTTCAAAAAAAATAAATTAATTAATAAAAGAAATAAAAAAAAAATGGATGACACAAAATATACATTATATTACGATACAATGCAAAAGATATTGCACCGCGAAATTACTCCTTTTAATGTTAGGGTTTATATTCCTAAGAGATAAGAAATAAATAATATAAAAATTTAACAATATGATTAATATAATTGTAAATTTTTAGTATCACCATCAACATATTAATTATAAAAATTTATCATTATTTATTATAGTAATTATCAAATAATATTAAAAATTGATATCGTTAAAGTTTAGTACTCGAAAGACAAAAAAACCTTCATAACTGTATGTGGTTCGAAGCAGTTAAAACCTCCTGGTCCAAAAAAAAAAAAAAAAAAAAAAAAAAAAAAAAAAAAAAAAAAGAAAAGAGTGGATGAGATTAAACCATTATAGCTCTTATTTTTAAAATTTAAGAATGAAATTTTTACCATATAAGAAATATTAAATAAAAGGCAGTCTTATACACACATATAGAAAAAAAAAAAAAAAAAAAAAAAAAAAGATGGATGAGATTAAACCATTATAGCTCTTATTTTTAAATTTAAGAATGAAATTTTACCATATAAGATATTAATGAAAGCAGTCCTTATACACATATAGACTCAGTAGTAGTTTATACTTTTAACACATTTCTTGTAGGAAGCCTGTTGGGCTTAGAGTGTGAATAACAAAGTGATTTTAGATCTTTTGATTAAATAGACTCTAATACCATATTATGAAACTACTTAACCTAAAGCAAGTTTCAGCCCAAGAATTTAATTTATTTACATTCCTAATTTATTTAATTGATTTCATACAAAGTGATAGATCATATTATGGGTTGCTTTCCGCAACCGTTTTAAATAGCTATTAGCATTTTGAATAAATGCTGTTGTTTTATAATATTTGATAACATAACATTTGAATTAGTTTTTGAAGTTTAATGTAGCGTTTTGTAAAAGGTACCCATGTAATTTTTAGCTTGTAAAATTTTTTATTAAAAATTTTGTACTCGAATAGTTAAACGATACAAAAACAATTAATTTTACAGAAGAGACCCATATATATATATATATATATATATATGATCAAGAGGATTGGTCATTGATAAATTAATTGAGATGGAAAAATATTTTTGAATAGTTTATCTCAATTAATCTTGTTATAATCAACAATAGTTAATGTATAGTCTGCCTCTTATTATTTAGATTAAAAAAAAATAAAAAAATGACTTATTATAGTGTTATGAATAAAACTTAAACTAAATGTTGATGGAGCTTTTTCTTGGGTTTGAGTGTCAACATTAGGGAGCCTAGGGCTTAATTAATGAAGAGAAGTTGTTTTCTACAACAATCTAGTTTGTGTTTGAAATTGGTGATTTCGTATTATTCAAATTAATCTATCATTTAGGTAATTTATGAATTTATGGAAATTTTTAAAAACTACGGCTCACAAAAATTAATTATTGGCAGCTACTACTAAATCATTGTTATATTTTTAGTTATAAAGAGCTTTAACAGTTAATCCTATACTACTTTTAATTAATTATTATTTCATGGGGGAAGATTGAAAATTTCAAAATTTTTCTTTTAATTTTAAAATAAGAAAGAGGATGTTGCATGTCACATATAGCAGGTGATCTAATTGTGGTACGAAAGATACTAGAAAGAAAATGTTGTTTTTACTTAAAAAAATCCTATCTACCGCTATGTAACGGATTAATTCATTTGTTTTTTTTTCTCGCTTAAAAAAGAAGAGTATCGAACCATTCATTTCAAAACTCTTCGGTGGGTTAACTCAATTTTTAATAATAAGCATTCTCCTTATTACTTTATATCAATTATGAGAGAATTCCGTAAATAGTATTTTTAAATATAAATTTAAAGTAAATATATCTTTAAGACTCAGAATAAAAAAATTTAATTTCGGTAAATGAATTAAATAAAGAAACCTTATTTGTTATTAAATTAACTTACGAACCATATTATTATTATTATTATTATTATTATTATTGAATGACCTCAACTGAAACAATACATTTAGTTCTAAATAATTTAATACACAAACAAGAAAAAGAACTAAAGCCCCACCAATCTCTCTCTATTCCCACTTCACCCACTTGTCTCTCCCTCTCCTCTCTATCTGACATGCCCATTAATGCCCTACACAAACAAGTGAAAATCTTGAATTTCATATTTCTTTACCTTCCAACAAAATCATTCAAACCATCTACCCATCCCTTCCATATATCTTAAAACACACACACACACACAAACACAAATCCCCATGGGCAAGAAAATGAAGCTTCCTTTTCTCTCCAAGATTAACACAAACTCCTCATCTTCATCAAAATCCTCATGGTCTTGGTCTGTTTATTGCCAACAACCAAAAACCCTTTCTTTCAGAACTAATAACAACAACATGTTCAAAACCCTTAACTCTTCTTATAATTTAGAGGAAACTCATGAATCTTGGTTTACTAACTCTTCTTCCGAGTCTGCAAGTTTCTCTACTGCCGCCTCAGACGACGACTCAGCCGCCGCAGCCGCCGGTGAGTCTTTAGAAACGGTTATTCGAGGTTTAAGGTCAGAACGACTATTTTTTGAGCCTGAAGAGACTAGTTCAATCTTGGACCAAGTAAAGAACAACAATGGTGAGTTTCCATTTAAAGAAAGTATAGTATTGTCAATGGATTCTCAAGAGCCTTATTTGGATTTCAAGAAATCAATGGAAGAAATGGTAGAAGCTCATGGATTAAAAGATTGGGAAGGTCTTGAAGAGTTATTATGTTGTTATTTAAAAGTCAATGGAAAAAGCAATCATGGGTATATAATTGGTGCTTTTGTGGATTTACTGGTTGATCTTGCTTTTGCTAGCCATTCTTCTACTAGTACTATTAGTGATTCTTCTTCTTGCTGTTGTTGTTCCTGTTCTCCTTCTTCTCCTTTGTCTTTTTACACTTCTTCAAATTTTTCTGATGATTATTCTTCTTGTGCTCCTTGTGTATCTTCATTACAAGTTGATCAAGAGGAGGTTCATCTAACTACTCCTTGTTTATCAAAATTAGAAGGTGGGATTAATGAGAGTAAAGAAAATTAAAAGTTGATGTTTAATTCATCTTTTTTACTTCTTGTTTTGATCTCATTTATGGAAAAACAAAATATGTGTATATTAGTAGCTTGATGAGATATGAATATGATAGTGAAATCTTTTTATGAAATTCTCTTTATCTTTTTATTCTTAATTTCTCATGTGCTCTATGCCATTTGTATTTATTAATATAGTCATTTGATTTTATTTATTAATATAGTTAGTTGATTATATTTTAAAACACAAATACATTTAAGAAGTCAAAATTTCAAACTTGGACACCCTTTTTTTTTCCCTTCAAAAATTCATTGATTCACCATAAAAATATTGTACCAAAGAGATTACACATATGATAATGAAATGCAAGGCATTAGGGTAAATGTAATTTTTTTTTCCCTTGTGTATAGTACAAAAATCTAAATTTTCCTTTTTGAATATTAAAAAGTAATTTAAATTAGTTCATGCTCAAATTGCATATGCATTCACCTGTCTTAGCAATGCTTACGTTTATAGAAATTTAATTATATGTGCTTATCATTACATTATACTTATAAATATTAAAAAATTTAGTTAGGTAAAAACAAATAGCTACTATTATTGCCATTTATAGGAAATTTTTCTTAATTATATTAAAATTAATTTTTTTATTGCCCATATAAGACAAAAGAAATATTTTTGACTCCCAAAAATTTAAAAAAAAAATCGAAATATAGACTATGAGGAACTTTCTTCAACGGCAAAACGGCAGATTTCATGGGGAGTAAAGTATAATAATAATAATGGTGATAAATAAATAAATGAGTTGTTATAAATTATAATAATTGATGATGCAATCGAATAGAGTAATATACTATGATCCCATGCAACACAAACCAGAGACATGCAAGTGTAACCACTGTTATTGATTAACATCGGACCATTGAAAGTACTGACATGTTGGAACAGATCGTAGACGTTGGTTTTAAATTTTGACAGTACTTATCAATTTGATAGCTACAATTCCAGCGCAGAATTTTGGCGTGGTCCCAACCAGCTCTCCTATCGTTGTCCTCTGCACCCTTGTCGTTTTAACCCTAAATAAAATTCATCATAAATAAAATAAAATAATATATTACATACACATAATTAGATATATAGAAATACAAATTTAAATGTGTGTTTTGAGTTTTAAGAATGTCTATATATACATATATTAAAGTTATATTTATTTCCAAAAAATAACTTACCTTTAGAAAATATTTTCTTGGAAGATATTTTTCAAATGACTTATTTTCCGTTGTTTGATTGCAATTTTGACAATTAATTAAAAATATTAAAATTTTTTAACTCATAAGACCATAATAATAATAATATAAATTTCGTATTTTTAAAAATTTTATTGTTAAATATGAGAATAATGTAAAAAAAAAAGGAATAAATTAGGAAAATCGCTGGGACCAATGGTGGTAGGTGGTGATGACTGGTGAGAGGTGGTAGTGGCTACCAATGATTAATAAATTAAAAAAATAAAGATTTATAACATTATAATAAGTTTGTGAAAATCCAAAAAATATTTTATGCTCTTGAAAATAGGAAGTCAATTTTCTTAAAAATGACTTAATTTTTATTTGATCAGGAAAATATTTTCCGTTAACTTATTTTTCTAAATGCCTAAACAACGGAAAATTATGGAAAAAATTTTTCTATAAATTATTTTATAGAAACAAACAAAGCCTAAAAGTAAAATTTGAAATTTCAATGAAGATATAACCCTGTGAACCACTTCTATCTACCGGTGTATTTAGGAGTGTGTAAATGGTCGATTCTATTCAAACCGAACTAAGGATTAAAAGGCAAATTGAATTTTTCAAATGTGAAATCAAACTAAACCGAAATTGATATTGATGTCAGAATCGAATCAATTTTTTTCATGTCAATTCGACTTGAAGTTTAATCAATTACTTTTTACAAAATTGAGCCAAATCATACAACTAAATTTCCTTGTGAGCAACTTGACAGAATCGAACTGAGTCAATTCAATTGGGTCAGTGGTTTTGTATCTATGTTGCGCACCTTAATCTATCTATATAGTGCTCAAAAAAAATTTTGAATCTCTATCTTTCTGTCTCTTCTAAGCAAACTAAATGTTGAAGGAAAAAACAAGATTGAGCCATGAGAATGTCACTGCCTGTAATTGTACCGATGAGCGGTGGAAAAGGGAATAGTTTGAAATTTCACAGTGTCTAAAGTTATAATTTAATTTATATAAATATGACAAAATGACAATTCAATTAGCCAACTAAATTGGTGAACCTAAAGCAGTTTACATCTTTAAATACTACATTAACATTTCTTTTTAATAAAAAAAATATTTTCAAACAAATTGATATGTGTATTGAAATTAAATTCGTTAATAAGTAAATTCAAGAATGCACTTTTTTGGTTTGGTATTGTATACTAATTTTTAAATATCTCTAGGTACGGAATTAGACTTCAAGTACTGGGGGAACTAAAATTTTTTTGAGTAAAATGGAAAAGAAATAGAGAACAAAATGAGAGGCCAATATGGATATTTTTGTAAAATACATATAATTTAGGGAAAATTTGAAGTTTAGAAAACTTTGGGAGAGATGTGAATATATTTACAATTCTATGGTGAAATTTTGAATTTTAAAAAATTGGTGCAATTGCCAATCCCTGAGTATCTCACCTCATTAAGCTAGATAAGTTAACATTCTATTTAATAATTAAATAGAATTTCAATGGATATGAACTTTGATTTAAAAATTCTAAAATAGCATAAGCTTGCATTAAATAGCTAGCAATAAATGAGGTGCAGAGGCTGTTGTTGCTTATTTAGTAAAATTTATTTGAAAATCTTAAATTTAAATTTTGCTAGAGCTATCTCATGGAATACTGGGATTATGAGAAAAGAAACTTTTGATTTATTGTGTATAATTCATCAAGAAACATACCAGAAAAAGTTTAATTATACGTTGGTTGTATTGGGAAAACCTAATAACGTGAGCTTAAATATTTGTTATAGTATTAATTTTTTTTTGAATTTTAACAATAAAAGAAAAATTTTTCTGATAAAAGTAAATACAGTACAATACTACTCATTAATAGCCTGGATAGTTATAAATAGCCTCCAAGGTGTAGTGAATTTAGTAGATGTACAGCATTAAATTGTGTGAAAGCTAATGGGTAGGTAATTCAGTAGTGGAGCCAAGATTCAAAATTAGGAATGTCAAAGAGAAATTTTCAAAATTAGGTTTAGGGAAAAGTGCACTAAGTTATATGATATACTGTTTGGAAAAATGTTTTGAACATTGGTTACTCTTTACCTCCACCATTAGATAGGTTAATCTTTTATATATTACTCTCTCCATTAATTTTTATTTGTGGTTCAAGGTTTTTCTGCAATGATCAAGAGACTAATATAATCATCTATTAAATTATAATAAAAATACTTTCTGATTTGATTGAATTATCTTTTATCTTACCTAATTATTCTAATTTCAACCGTTCTTTTTCCCGTAATTTACTCTAAATATTAAGAGAGATGAGGGAGCTGGTAAGATAGATTTTAAAAAAATTTATAGGATAGTCATTGTATTTGATAGAGAAAATTAAAGTTAGAAATTTAATCTTCTCAAAACAACATATAACTTTAAACAAAATAATTATTTAGAAAATAATAGATAAAAAGATGAAAGTTTTAATAATTAAATCACAATTAATTAACTTGTCAATCAGGTGGTGATTTGGTTGATCTTCTCGCTTGTGTAATGAGTTTGAGTCCTCTCGACCACAGTTATTTTCACCAATTTGATGAGCTAAGAGGAGAGTTATCTCTATTGTGTGGCCCGCAGTGTTATTTCGACCCATAAAAACTATAATAAATTAAAAAAAAAATTCCAATCAATCAACTTAAAATGACCTTTTTTTTTTTTTGTAATACTAGCAATGATAAATGGAAAAAACTAATAGTAAATTTTTTATTAGAGCAACAGTTAATTTAATATTATTTTATGTCTAATATTAAGATAATACAACATTGAAAGGTAAATAAAAGGCTGAATATTTATAAATGCACCATTGAATTTTATTAATTTAATTTTGTGACATTTTTAAATTTTATTTTAATTTATTAGACGCTTCAATTTATAAAATTATATCTATTAAACACTTTAACTTGCAAAATTATTTTATTAAACACTTTAACATACAAAATTATATCAATTAAATACTTATTAAATAGTTTAACAATATAAAAGTTATTGTTTCAAAATTACACCCATTACATATCAAATTAATATTTTACATATAAAAATTAAAAATGTTCAAGACTATTATTGTTAGTGTATAGTATAATTTTTCTAAAATTTATAAATTTAAATGCACTATAGATTATTTCCAGATCGATTTCAAAATACTACAAGGTTAAATTAAAGTTACAAAGTTGAATAGTAATTTTATGTATTGGGTGGTAAATATAAGCATCTCTTTTAAACACTTTTTGCAAACATGAAGACTTATTCTAACTCAGCTGACTATATCACATTAATCAAAAAAACAATTCGGTAATCGTAATTATTACTATATATATATAATAATCAAAACCTGAAAGCAACATTTGTAATTAATTATTATATTTTATTGGTAGCTAATTAAGAGTAACGTAGTTTTAAAGAAAGAAAAAAGGAAAATATTTATATTTGTCAACTCTTCCATATAATATTCATATGTATGTTCGAGGCTATAGCTTATATTAGGTAGAAGACTCAGCCTCAGCCTCGGCTTCAATCTTTGAGCTAAAGATTCTTGTCTCAGTGGCCGAAGCTTCTAAACCTTGTGCCATCATCTTTTTTAAACCCTAGTAATAAAGTAATTAATTGAAAGGGTCCAAACTTTCTTGCCATGTTTTCCTCTCCGAAATTTCGAAACCCTATATTATTATAAATGCAAATCTCAAGAAAAATGTAAAAGAAATTTTTTATACTAGTTTCTAAGGAAATGTTGTTCATAGTTTTAAGTTTAAGTATAGAAATTGATAATAAACATTTTTTATACATAGAAAATCCATATTCTATTTGTTTTTTTCTATATTATTATATTAAAAGACTTGTTATGAAGACAAACATTATT